CAATTAAAACGTAAAGAGATAACTCCTTCTCCTTGTCCCTTCCCCTTCCCAGATCCCTGTTTGTTCATGTATGCAAACTAATACTTTGTTTTGACATAAAAAATGTGAATATATACAAATAGTTTAGTAATCCATCTCTTTGAATGATTTTCATTCCTAATTCTAGGAGGGTACATGGGTTGACCCAAATTCATGAATGAAATGTCAAGTAATCTTATCATTGATGCACTTTTATTTAATTTGATGTAGTCATATTGTAAACATTTCCAGTTCATTAAGAGAGTGGGGATGACCTCCATGGGTTCATAACCCTAAACCATTAGATGTACATAACATAATAACACAAGAAACAAAATTATGTATAGTCAAATGGAAAAGTCACATAATCATTTGTCATTTCAGGGACAGGGAGCGGCTAGGGAGATTGGACCCCCCCCCCCCCCAGAATTTGCAGAGTTATTTAAATAGGACTATATACTGATTTACAGAAGCAAATAGAAAATGACTTTGGATGCCCTCCCCCTTTAAAAACATGGACCCCACCATCATTGTTTTTATTTTGTTTGTTTTGTTTTTGTTTTGCTCCTCAGGAAATTCTGGGCAGGAATTTTTTTTTTGACTGCGGTGTGGACCCCCCCCCCCCCCCCCCCCCCGGAGAAAATTCCTGCATCTGTGCATGTAACTGAATGTAATGTCGACAATGGGAGATAACTCTTCAGAATGTGAAATTCGTCTACTGTGGCATCCGATGATCTTTGATCCTTTTTAAGCTTTAACCTAACCATTTGCATTTCGGTTATTTTACCCCATTCTATACTTAAACTTGTACTTACTGACTGTCATAGGTCCTGTCAACTTCATGAAATATAATCCAATTAAAACACAAATGAATTAATTTCCACATATATATATATATATATATATATATATATATATATATGTATATATATACATGTAACACTGTACCATGTGCAATCTAAAAATGATAATGGTAAAATTAGTACTAGTACTGGTAGGGTGACGCAAGCCCAATGTGATGTAGAAATTTTCAAAAAGGTGTTCACATACATGTACAGTACAAGAACAAATTTTAAATCATCATAACAAACGATGTTTTAACATAACTTTGCCATCTAGGCCTATTTCCAAAAACAGGCAAATTGTGTGTGTGTGTTGGGGGGGGGGGGGGGGAGGGTGACAAAATTGATTGGATATGGCTTTTCAAGGAGGTTTTTGCCTAATCATATACTAAAAAAAGTTTGCACATTTTGATAAATTCATTAAAAAAGCTTTGTACTAAAGTAATATCATTTGTTGTTGAGAAAATAAATTTATAAAGTTCCAATTATTGGCCACAAATTTATATCCCCCCCTTTTTTATCAAAACCTAATTTACATCATTAATTAAATTCTGTTATTTCAGACTGGTAATGAATTAAGTATATGAAATGCGTATAAGAGGTTCATGGGTCACATGGTCACCTGAGCATTTTATGCTCCATTTGACGAATACATGTACTGTGTAAATTATAGAATTATTTTGACTTTTTCCTTGGTAAGCCCAATATGAAGGAGTGTGCACCTTAGTGCGGGTATTACTATCTCATGACAGCATCTAGTTTTTATTTGTTTCTTTAATATGGTTACATATTTTATACTGTTTGTGACAAGTCTCTGGTTAATGAGTTTACCAGTCTCATGGATACTTGTCTGCCATGTGGAGAAGGATGATATGGATTTTGAGACGTATTTTTATAGTATGGGCCGTTTGTGATTTTAACCATAAATTTTGCACTGAAAAGTGAACAAATATTAAGCTAAATGACCAAGTTAAATGACTGAATAGGCTTATTTCATTATCCAAGCAAACTGTCATACACAAGCTAATCAGTTCAATAATTAAAATTTCAAGCCGAAAAAATTGTAAATAATTGTCATAATTAACAAGTGCATCATTGAACCCAAGCTGATCACCACAACTGTTAACCAAACATATCTATCTACTATGCCCACTATTAACACAGGTAAGGTCCTGTGTGCATCCAGCCATAACTAATCCCCTCATTGTTGTACTCAAGCCAGTCAAAGGTAATTGGTGTCAAACTGTGTAAACAAAGGCTTCACATACAAAGTTGGAGGTGTGAACGAGGTGCTGATTATCAACAAACACTGTGATAGTCCAAATTTTTGTATCAGATAAAACGAAATTCCAATATTTTCTCATCAGAATATCAAGTGAAATTATTAATAAATATATAAGAAATGGTTTTGTGCTCTGACATTATATTGAAATAGCCGAAATATTAGTTAAACCGCTATCTGATAAAATGGAAGCCACTGTATATGAAATTTGATGAGAATATCTTAAATAGTTTCTTTAAAATTGAAATTAAAATCTAAAAAGTTGGATATAGATGATAAACTCTCCCCAAATTATGTATAAGTGCAAAAGCTTACATAAATATATCTTAAATGGTTTCTTTAAAATTAAGCAAAATGCAAATTTAAGAAAAGTGAGGTCAAGGTCACAGGAAAGTAAAAAGTCAAACATTTTTGATGCAGTTGAATAGTTCTCACAAATATGTATCAGCATATTAAGTTTGATAGAAATATTTTGAATGGTTTATTTAAAACTGAGCTAAACACTAATTTAAAATAAATGAAGTAAAGGTCAAAGGAAAGTTCAAGAGCAAAAAATATTGATGCAGTTGAATAGCTTACATCAGTATGTATCAGCATATGAATTTTATGAAAAGTGGGGTCAAGGTCAGAGGAAAGGTCAAGGTCAAAAAATATTGATGCAGTTGAATAGCTCTCATTAGTATGTATTAGCATATGAAGTTAGATTAAAATATCTTGAATGATTTCATTACATTGAGCTAAACACTAATTTAAGAAAAGTGATTTCAAGGTCAAAGGAAAGGTCAGGGTCAAAAAATGTTGATTCAGTTGAATAGCTTACATCAGTATGCATCAACATATGAAGTCTGATTACACTTTCTGGAATAGTATCTTTAAAACTGAGCTAAACACTAATTTAAGAAAAGTGAGGTCAAGGTCAATGGAATGGTCAATATCAAAAAATATTGATGCAGTTGAATAGCTCTCATCAGTATGTATCAACATATGAAGTTTGATAAAAATATCTTGAATGATTTCATTAAAACTGAGCTTAACACTAAGAAAAGTGAGGACAAGGTCAAAGGAAGGGTCAAGGTCAAAAAATGTTGATGCAGTTGAATAGCTTACATCAGTATGTATCAACGAAAGAAGTTTAATTATACTCTCTTGAATGGTATCTTTAAAACTGAGCTAAACACTAATTTAAGAAAAGTGAAGTCAAGGTCAAAGGAAAGGTCAAGGTCAAAAATGTTGATGCAGTTACATAGCTCTCATCAATATCTATCAGCATATGAAGTTTGATAAAAATATCTTTGATAGTTTCTTTGAAACTGAGCTTTGAACAGAGCTAAACACAAAGCATGACAGAAAGATGGACAGAAGGACAGAAGGATGAAAGGACAGAAGACAGACATGACAAACACTATATGCACTGGCCATATTCATATATAAAAACAGGGTAAAAAATTTTGTTTGCATGCAACCTTTCTCCATACCACCTCTCCATGTTCCAAGATTGAAGTTTTAATGTCAAAAGGTTCTTAAGTTATGGTTTGGAGGTGTTTTTCTCAATTTGACCTTGAATGAAGAAAGGAGTCAAGGTCAACATTTTAGTGCAGTACATCTTTTGTAAATGTCTTTTTTCTATGTTACATATTTGAAATCCTAATGTCAAAGGGTTCTCAGGTTATAGCCTGGACTATATTTTTATGTAAAGATTGACCTTAACCTTATGGAAAGGTCAAGGTAAAAAGAGTTTGGTGGCCTTAACCCCAATTCCATACCGCCTCTCCATGTTCCAAGTTTTAAGACTTAATGTGAAAGGGTTGTCAAGTTAAGGCTCGAACAAAATTTGATTGAAGAAGAAAACTGACAAAAACAATATGTAGACTAGTATAGTCTACTTGTTGCATCAAACTTGGAGGAGGAGTAGTTTTGAAAGAACAAATTTGTTTCTACATTATGTAATGAAACTTTCAAATGAGATTCAACTTTTCTTGCCTAGTGGTTCTTGAGAAGGAATTTTTTTCTTAAAAAGTAAAGCATACTTTAAGCAAAACAAGCCTATAATGAATTGACACCTACAGCAAAGCGATTTTCATTTCCCATGACTTTATAATATATTGTAAACTTAATGGATTTAAGCAATTACACTTATAATAAAGCAATTAAAATCATCCGTCCCAGGCACGTTGTTATAAGCACGTTTTACTGTACACTACCTGAGGATGCTTCCACATAAGTTTCATATTTTCTAACACAGTGGTTCTTGAGTAGAAGATTTTTGAAAGATGCCATAAATTTTTCATGAATTAGCAATTATCTCCCCTTGGAAGAAGGCATGGCCCTTCATTTGAACAAATTTGAATCCCCTTCACCCAAGTTTGGTTGAAATTGGCCCAGTAGTTCTGGAGAAGAAGATGAAAATGTGAAAGTTTACAACAATGACAACGACACCAACGAAGACCACAGACAATGGACAAATTTTGATCAGAAAAGCTTACTTGAGCCTTTGGCTCAGATGAGCTAGAAATTTTTTAAAATTGCTGATGGAGGAATGACAGACAGACACACAGACAGAGTGATTACTTTTGGGCACTGACAAATCCTTGCAAACCCTAATAAAACATATCAATATAAAAGCAGTGTTCTTCACTATTGCCAATATGGTATGAAAAGCTATATAACTAAAATCAAGACAATTTAGGAATGAAGATCAATTCCAGTTAAGAGAAAAAAAGGATAGATGGTCCACATTTGATTTTCTTACTTATGTATTTTAGAAGATTTACAAAAAAATATATTTCAAACCTTTATTTGAATACACTGATATTACAAATAACTGTTTTGGCATCACCATCAAGAGATATATGTATTACCTTGCCTGTGTCAACAACATATTTGATGTTGGGAATAGTCAGTGATGTCTCTGCCACATTAGTGGCTACAACACACAGTCTACAGCCTTCTGGTGGTGGTTCAAATACCTATAGTGAAAATAAAACAGGTAATCAAAGATTAAGAAGTTCACATTGATGAATGTTATCTTCAAGTACTTGGCAAATCTCACATCATATTTTTTTCTAGTTAGTGTGCATCCTGAGATCAACATCCATATAAGTATGGTTTAAGTGGGATTTATAATTACTTGGAAATGGACCTGCTCCAAATACTTTAACCTGTTCACTGATCAAAAAAATTTCTGTCAGTTTCAACATCTGAACCAAATCTAGAAGAATCCATTCTTCTTTGCATCATCCATGCAAGTTTAATTATAACAGGCCATAAAATCATAGAGCTACTCCAAAAACAGGAGGCCCAAGGGCCTTGAATCACTCTTCTGATAAACTGTACAACCTATCACTTCTATTTGAAGCCTTTAAGTATCCTGCATATTTAGATAAAGCCTTGAAATTCCAAAGGTAGGTCATCATGACCTACATTTAAGATGAAACACTTTGAGAACCCAAGATGATTCTAACCCAATAAGTACCTGAGAGTAGGTCATGGTGACCTACTTATCACTTGTCATTCTCTGAGGACCCAAAATGCATCAACTGACAAAGTTTGATGATTCTCAGCCAATTAATACCTAAAATGTTTTTAATTATTACCATAAAATTTCAAAAGTAGGTCATAGTGACCTACTTTTCAGACGACAAACTCTGTGGACCCAAGACGCATCAACTGACAATGTTTGGTGATTCTAAGCCAATTACAGTCCCTGAAACGTTCTTTTTTCCCACTTGAACGGTGAGCGAACGCTGAACGAACGGTGAACGAACGCAGAGTGAACGGTGAGTGAACGATGTGTGAACGCTGAATGCAACTTGGTGAACGATGTGTGAACGCTGAGCGAATGCAGAAGGTGAACGGAGCGCAAATGCGAATGCAAAGTGAACGGCAAATGAACGGTGAACGCAAGATGAACGATTTATTCAGAATCCCTCTTATCTTTTCCTTGCATTGAAACTATTCTATTGAATTCTAATGTCAGGTGCCAAAAAATAAATAAATAAACAAATTAATGAATAAATAAATAAAATAAATGCTACAAAATCATCCTAAGAAATTAAAGACGATATATGCACATTAAGTAAAATTAGGTTTTTTTTACTTGTATGATGTTTAAATTCAACTTTTTAATCACACGATTTTGATCGCTGTAAAACATTGTAATTGTTACCGAACGCTGTAGTATAAAAGATAAAATTATATCTTAGTTTGAAAATAAATATGTTTATTCGTATTTGATATAAAAAACGGTACAAATAAGAGAAAACGTCTGACTTATAGAATGAATTATAACGGATGTAACGCCCATTCATATATATTTCCGTGCCAAGGCGATTCCATGTAAAATGATGAAAAAAAATTAACGAAGGTCTGTGGACGTACTGCATAAATACACTCGCATTTTAGATTTTTAATGCAATAATATTTTTATGTGTCATTTCTATTTTTTAGGATGATTTATTAAGCAAACTTCTACATGTACATGTACCTGTAGACATTTACCCGTGATTATACTCGGACAAGATTATACAAAGAGGCATACATATTCATATTATTTGTTATAGATTAAAATTTCAGAACTTGATATTTAAGCAATATGCTGTCATATTTTTTATCAAACAGAAAAATAAGAGAGAGAGAGAGAAAGAGAGAGGGAGGGAGAGAGAGAGATTCCTTTTTAGCCCCCCCTTTTCAGGCTTCACCAAATGTTTGTGCCGATATCAAACAAAAATTCTTCATTTTTTTCCTAAATATATCAGGCAATGAAAGAAACTTTTTTTAATTAACAAATCCATTTGTTTGACATTTATACTCATTTTTTTTTCCTGCTTCAAGTTCACACGAAGTCCACGTGCTTGTCCTGTCAATCAAAATCATTCGTCTCGTCACACCGAAGACGAAGTGCTCTTATCTCCAACAAGTTTTATTTTTTTATCATTTCTAGATTTGATTCCAACATTTCTAAATAAATAAATAATTAAAATACATTGGGCATTAACACTTCGATTTGAAACTTACTTTCTGCCAATTTAAAATACCACCGCCGACACGTGTATATTTTGAACTACTATTGTTTATTGACTTTTTTATATGCATGTTTTTTTTTTGTTTTTTGTTTTTTTTTTTGACTGAAATTTTTGTGGTACAAAACACATTAACTCCTTTTTAAATGTTTATAAAATATACTGGAAATGCTGACTAAGTAACCGATTTAGGAGGGAAAAAAAGGGGGCTCTTAATCATATCGAATGGCAAACATATAAAGTTACACTGAAGGAAGAATTTATTTTCTCTATAACTATAGACTTTTTATTATTATAGCAGAGAAAATCTGTAGTGTATTACATTTAAAATAAATATTTTTTATAACCGCACTATCAATTTAATTCGCTCCAAAGATATTTAATTAACAAGATATCCGCAGTACTATGTATAATTCTCAGAACTAGTTCTATTACGTATTTCTGTAGTAATTGAAAAAAAATGTATTTGAATAGAAAAAAAATATTGTCGTAATTTTATTTTGCTGCATTGTTAGAAATAAATATTTTCGTAATTTTGCTGCAGTTTGTAACTTAATGAACTTGGATAATTATCTCTCCATTAACAATTTGTCGTCTATAACATAACAACAAAATGTTGCAGTGCTTGTACATATGTAGTATCTATATATTGCCCATATTTCAATTAAATTTTTCAGCATCGTTCTACATACATGTGTACATACTTATAACAACATTTATTTCCCAGAGTAGATTAATAAATAACCTTACAGCAAAGTCAGAATAATAAAAAAAAAATAATGTTAGAATATTGTGGATATTTTTTCCAATGAGATAAGGATTCTTTAAACATGATATGTTAATTTATTTTTAAATTAAACATGAGGCCCACGGGCCTTATAGGTCACCTGAGTATTGTGTAACAACTTTCCAACAATTGAATTTGGTTTGTATTTTAAACCAGAGGCCATGTAATTCGCAATTTTGAAAGAGGCACTATTGCTCATTATAACTACACAGTTAGCATGCTTACTTTGATTACTTAATACCCAGAGGCAGAGCAGAGGAACAAAAACAAGAGAAGTAGGAAGATCAGGATCAACAAAATAATTAGTCTAGTATTCACTATCAACTCAGAAATTGAGTTCTAATCTGTCCCCCACTTAACACTAATCACCATGCAGCCTATTAACAAAATATTAGTGCTTCTGTACTATTTTTAAACCCATATTAAGACCTCTAGCATTGACCTCTCTTATGGTCTTTGAAGAAATTTAATAAGTTATTTTTGTCTCATTTTTATTTATCTATTACTTACAGGTCTACCTGATTATTAAAACTAAGAAAGTACTTTTTTAATTATACGATAAACATTCTTGCATAATTATCTTATTCTATTAACCTTTCAAATACATTATTTACAGTGATTAATTATCAAAGTTGAATGGAAAAGGGGAATAACTTCTCTCAGTAGAATACAAATTAATAGAGCCCTGCCCAGGACCAGAATGCTTAGATGAATGGTCCAGATGTTTAAAAATCTGGTAGAAATACGCTTACTCATATCATTTAAACTTTTACTCAGTTTGCTTCCGATATGCCAAGAAGCAGAGAAGAATTTCACAGGTACAATGCATTTTCACTACAGATTCAACAAAGCCTTACCCTAACACCAGAACCCAAGACCAAGGGTCAAGAAATTTACAAATTTGGAAGAGTTACCCTCATCATCATTACTATGGACTTCAAAGAATTAACACTTTTCCACTATATTATCAAAAGCCCCCCCCCCCCTCGTTATGCCAGAACCCCTGACCCAAGGACCACAAGATTTAAAAATTCTGTTCGAAGCTCCCATTTTTATCATAGCTAAGCAATTTATTTATCAGCTCAACACTAAGGAGCCGACAGGATTAATTAATGATTAATTAATAGAATTAATGCTTTTTCATTATATAATCAATAGAGCCCCCCCCCCCCAAGAACCCCCAAAACTGAGGCGACATATTTAAAAATTTTGGAAGAGGCATCCTTGTCTATCATAATCATGCACTTAGTTTGTTAAAATAATCTCCAGTAGCAGAGAAGAAGATTTTCAAGGAATCAATGCATTTTCACTATATAATCAATAGAGCCCCGCCTAACACCAGAACCCCTGACCCTGGGGCCATGAATTTCACAATTTTGGAAAAGGCATCCTTATGCATCATAACCATGCACTTAGTTTGTTTAAATAGTCTCCAGTAGCAGAGAAGAAGATTTTCAAAGAATCAATGCATTTTCACTATATAATCAATAGAGCCCCGCCCTAACACCAGAACCCCTGACCCTAGGGCCATGAAATTCACAATTTTTGAAAAGGCATCCTTATGCATCATAACCATGCACATAGTTTGTTTAAATAATACCCAGGAGCAGAGAAGAAGATTTTCAAAGAATTAAAGCATTTTCACTATATAATCAATAGAGCCCCGCCCTAACACCAGAACCCCTGACCCAGGGGCCATGGCTTTCACAATTCTGGAAGAGACCCACCTCCTCATCATAACTATGTACTTAGTTTATCACCTTAATGCCCAGGAGCAGAGGAGAAGATTTTCAAAGAATTAATGCATTTTCACTATACAGTCAATAGAGCCCCGCCCTAACACCAGAACCCCTGACCCTGGGACCATGAAATTCACAATTTTGGAAGAGGCACTCTTGTTCATCATAACTATGTACTTAGCAACTTTATTAAATATCCAGAAGCAGAGAAGAAGATTTTCAAAGAATTAATGCATTTTCACTATATAATCAATAGAGCCCCGCCCTAACACCAGAACCCCTGACCCTGGGGCCATGAAATTCACGATTTTTAAAAAGGCACTTTAGCTCATCATAACTATGTACTTAGTTACTTTATTTAATACCCAGGAGCAAAGAAGAAGGTTTTCAAAGAATTAATGCTTTTTTCACTATATAATCTA